CTATATAAGTGCTTTGTGAGTGATTCAATCGATGAAGTGGAGGTCTGATAGAGATGCGTCTACACAGTCTGGCGCGGAAGATGGTGTAAGCTTCTGCTCGCCGAGACGCTTGCACTTTTCAATGGCGAGCCTCATATGCACCCTCTTGGACCAGGATAGCAAACCTCACGAGTTTTGTCGCTGATGGGTTCTAACTTGGTCGCACCTCGCATGCGGCCACGTAGCTGTTGGCTGATGCAAGAGAGATTGTCAGACCATCAACCATATGTGAGATATATTGGAAAAGACGATGTTATCTGTCTACGAGCATGTCTTGACTGACTGGCTGTGGGACCCAAGTCAGATCCAGGAGGATGAGGAGAGATGGGGAACCAGTTCAGCCGCCATCAGCAGGTCGTTTGTGACCCTGACCAGAGCTGTTTCAGTGCTGTGGGCGGAACGGAAACCGGACTGGAATTTCTAGAGTTGGAGATGGTCCTGAAGCTGGGCGGCAACTACATTGACTGTCTACCAGCATGTCATGCACTCACTGGCTGTGGCATAACAAGTAGTTTGTACAGAATAGGAAAGACAACAGCATTCACCAAACTCAAGACCCATCCCAGCGAGCTCAAAGATCTGGCCCATTTTGGACTCTCTGCCAGCTTGGAAGAGTCTTTGCCAGTCGCAAGACAATTGGCGCTTCTGCTATATATGGAAAAAAGAAAAAGGAAATTGGACTGATGTGCACACACTACTTGGATGAACTGAGGTTCATAATTGCATCAACAACAGATTCAGCCTCAGAAAATCTGCCGCCAACAGAGGATGCATTTCAACAACATGTAAAGAGCAATGTTTCAGACAGCGATATGGTGTCACAGCCCGAACCCAAAACCTTGTTATGGAGTCCTGTTGGCAGGGGTGGATTGTCAGAGATGGGGCCATTCAACCAGTGCTATTTACAAAACCCCAGCACCTACAGAAGTGAGAGACATTACTCACTTGTATTGCAAAGATGCAAAGTGTGGAGAGAGTGGAAAGTGCCAGTGCCTCTCTGTTGGCCGTCCCTGTATGGGGTTCTGCACCTGTTGTGCAGAATGTCAAAATGTGTCCCCTAACGTTTCTGAGGAACCTGACATTTAACATTATATTCTAGTATCTATATACTTGACCTCTCACAGAATTATTTGATGATTTATAGACTGTACTTTTAATTAAGGTTCCAGTTTCAATAAAACCTGTACTATTTACACCTATGTTTTAGAGGCTTGCAATTTAGAACTAATACACTTGATTGTATTGGGTTACTCTTATTCTGACTATTTGGTGATGTAGTTCAGCCACCTGGTATTTCCCTCTCCAAATATAGATGACCATCAGAGTGAGCATTTCTTAATTTATAGGCTATTTGTATGTCCACTTATCCCCATTCGGATGTGACTGTTATCACAGAAGAGGTTAGGCCTATGTCTAAAGAAATCTCATTTTGCCAATAGAGAAACTGTACCAGATATTATTTCCATATAACAACTACTGGTTTAGTGTTCAATAGCACCCTAGACAATTCAGTAATGGTTATATTTTTTAGGGGATTCTGTTTTTCTGATAAAATGAGAGAAGTAAGGAGATGGAGTCCTACGTTTCTATCACCAAAAAGTAACAATTTTGCGGTCTAAAATAAAGCTAAGTTTAACAGGACTTATAATTCAGTATTTCTTTAGTTAAATAAATTGACTGACTATTTAGTGATGTTAAGGACAGCCACCTGGTTCCATACTTCAGCAAATCGAGAGAGAGGAAAAGAGTTGATCATTCTCAAAGTTATGGGCTTTTTAGTCACCATTTCCGATATTCGGCCTGGTCTAATTTGGCTCTTTTTCAGGGATTGGGGTAGTTCTAAAGAACAAACCTAAAAAAACATGTTTTCCCCAAAATATAAAATTTGACAACAATCAAATTCATAATGGGAAACCCTAAAGATAAGAAAATCATTGTTGTCATTTGTCTACCTCGGTTAGGGGTTATCTCGAAAATCTGAAGCTCTTCTACGTTTAGGACGCTGTGGCGCACAGAAAATGACCACAGTTGGTCAAAGGAGAAGGTAAAAATCAGCACAAGCACCATGGAACTGGCAAACAGAATATTTACTAAGGTTAACATTTGCAGAGGAAACTTTAACTCCGACATTATGAAATGCTTTCAGGAATCCTATGAAAAACAGGTCACTCCTCCCTCATTGTGAGAGGTGCCATGATCATTTTTTAATTTTAAAACCGAAACAAACCAGCCCATAAAATGCCAATGTTTCCGTCCAATTGTGCATTCTAAATTCGGACATTCAAATTCTCCTGCAAAAGTGCTAGCCATGTAAGATGCGAGGTCTTGTTCTCCCTGTATGGTTTGCTTCTCTTGTCTTGCTTTATCACTATTATACTCTAGCGCCCTTCATGAGATCAACTGTTATAAGCGTAAACTATTATTTTATGCCCAATATGTTAACTTAGAAAAGGTTAGCAGCGTTTTATCAATGGTGATTTTCATTTACAGCTTTACCACACCTTACAGCTACAGAAAAATATTCTGTAAGGCTCAAAGCTGCCTAACAATTGATTCAATGAGTAGTTTCTTCAGGTTCCCAATCAGCTGATATACTTCAACGGTCAGTTTGGTGAGATGTCACTATTGTGTTCTGTTGTACACTTTTATGTGCCGATGGATTAGTGTTGACAGAAGACGAGTAAATATGTGTGTTAGAGGGCCCTACCTTCCTTGCACCTAATAACTTTCATTAGGGGGGGGCGGGTTTTTATTGTTACTACATTATGAAATTATGTGGTTTATGATGCCCACTTTCCTTTTTGTATGACCTGTGCTAAAGTTTGAAAAAGAATAAGTTATATATTCTCAATCT